AAAACGACTTAAGATAAGCAAGTATCTAAAGCTACTCAATGCTGTTGATGTTTGTTTAAGCTAAAGGTGGCTAATGTTGGGCACAACGTACCGCTGTGGTGCACGCTCAGCATTTCTAATGAACCAAATGAAGCTGATACATTCACCCAGATTAGTTTTACATGATAGAGTCATGAAGAGGCACTTTCCTAAATACATTGACTGATTAAAAACGACTTAAGATAAGCAAGTATCTAAAGCTACTCAATGCTGTTGATGTTTGTTTAAGCTAAAGGTGGCTAATGTTGGGCTATAAAGGAACTACAGCACGGTCACATGACTTCACGTCACCACCGCTAAGCTAAAGGTGGCTAATGTTGGGCTATAAAGGAACTACAGCACGGTCACATGACTTCACGTCACCACCGCTAAGCTAAAGGTGGCTAATGTTGCGCTATGAAGGAACTACAGCACGGTCACATGACTTCACGTCACCACCGCTAAGCTAAAGGTGGCTAATTTTGGGCTATAAAGGAACTACAGCACGGTCACATGACTTCACGTCACCACCGCTAAGCTAAAGGTGGCTAATGTTGGGCTATAAAGGAACTACAGCACGGTCACATGACTTCACTTCACCACCGCTAAGCTAAAGGTGGCTAATGTTGCAAGAAACAAACATTATTTCAGGATACCAACCAAAAAACTTAGAGAAAAACAATCCAGAAGTAGAGTATGTTAACAAATGTCTTGGTTTTAGTTCTAAATTCAGCACCAACACTAGCTAACTCTTGTGGCTCCCGGATACACATTTAGAAAGTTCAATAGCTTTTTCTGAAGGAGCTTTGCAGCAGATTTGAACTGAACTAATCGTCTTCTACTCTTTTGAAAAGGCCCACTGTGAAAGCCAATGAATGTGGCATATTAATACGACATAACACAAGGGAAATGAGAAACACCCCCCAATGGTGTGAGGATCTCCCGCAGCTGCAGTCTAATCTAGGAGGTACAACATTGTCTGATCCATCACACCTTCCCGTGGCTGGAAATAACTTCCCTCTATAGCCATTGTTTAACTCCCTTTTAGTGGCTCCTTTGTCAAATAATTCATTACCCTCGGCGCTGTAATGTGTCTCCGCGGTCCTGCCTTCACTCTGCTTTCTGCAAGGTGAGTTTTTTTTCTAAATCACAGCGGGGATAATGGCCAACCTCCGTGTCAGAGCAGCAACTCAAGTCCATCGCAAAGAAGCTCAGAGGACAGTTAAAATGAGTCAAGGTTCAAATGCAAAATTGGGGGGG